AGATTCTATGATTCTATAAGCTAGTAAAGTATTCTGCCAGCAGTAGGAATAAGAGTGCTGTGTTAAAAAGATAGACATAGCAAGGGAATAACAATAGTAATCCTCAGCCCTTTTCATTATTTCATATTACTACATATAAGGTAGTGCCCAATTTTGCTGTAAATGGATTAAGGAAATTGTCTTAGTATAGGAGCTGTTCTCAGCTGCTAAGAACTCATGCATTCAGTCTGTTGTCAGTATTTTTATGTATATGTTTTATCTTTCAAAGACTTCCATAAAAATAATCATTAAACATCTGGTTCAGCTAAGGCAGGCCTAGAAGAAACATAATAATCCTAATAATGTCTTGCTCATTTTCTAAAAATCAACCAGGTTGCAACTGTTAGAAAAAATATAGGCTGCAAAATTTATTGTCTTTAATACTGGATTATTGTATTAGCCTTGCAATCGGTAGACGAGTTTGTACCATTCAGTATAGTAGAAGTTTAGCCTAGTAATAGATTAACAGGTGGGTGAAAGCCAATAGAAGCCTTGCATATATCCCAAGCCACATTTTTATTCTCCTTTAAAAGATAATGTGGAAAACTGATCTTCCAAGAGGAATAGTCACTGAAACATCTCTTGTAATAACAGCTAATAACAGGCTAGTAACTTGGCCTCCAGACTCAACTATAAGTTAAGAACTAGTTCACTTTTAACTTGTTTTACTGGCTTTTGGGAATTCATTGTGAACTACTCACTTTTAAGATGGTAACTGGATATTTTTTCAGCATGTATATGCACGGACAACAAAACTGAGGGGAAAAAAAGACCTGTTGTATTTGCCTTCCTGAACTCTGTTTTGCAAATGCTCAGAATTTGCCCATGTAGTCACCAAGAAAAAACAGATAGATGCATGCTGCAGTTTGCAATATTTTCCAGTCTTCAAAGATTTCATCACAGGTAGGATTCCTTTTGCAAGTCACCGGAGACATAGCATGGTGATTGATCGGCCCAGAGTATAATTAAGGTATCATTATAGTGAGCCATGTTGCCAATGCAGTCACTGAAGCAGATCTTTTTATCTTTTGAAAAGATAAAAGTTCAGTTTGCTGGCATGTTGCTTTTATAGTCAGCACTTGGAAACGGGCTGCAGGAATCGTGATGGGAGAACAGACGATGTGTTCATCTGACTGTTCAAAATACCCTATCGCCTTTCCAGTACAGTACGTCAGCTCACGGTGCAGGTAGTTTTCATAAAGGTAAATCTGGTACTACTGCTGTTTACATCAGGAGCATTTTAAAACTCAGAATGTATGTACTCTTACAATGCCGCTGCTACTGACATCGATGGGGTTTGCACGTGCTTTGGAGTTGGGATGTAGGCGTAGTTCTGGTACACTAACTTATTTAAAGATTTTTCATCACTGTAGCTTATAAGAGTCTACCGAGTTTGACAAGAAATGTTTGCAGTTTCAGCAGGTTTGGTTCTGAGTATACATGCACAAAGGAAATTGGGGAATGGATCTGATATAAAATCAGAACCGTTCCACTGAGGATAGTTAAAGATCCAGTACCTTGATTTTAATATTTTTCAGCATTACACTACAAATCCTGATGGGTAAGCCATCTTTCATACTCTTCTATTTTCTAGAGAGAGCAAATTTCTGACTTTGACAGGCTAGCACTGAAAGGAGAAATCAGAAAAGCTGTTTGAAGCACTTTTTGGTAAGAAATCATTGCAGGTGCAGGACATAAGACATACCCATTACAATTGTTACTGTTATTCATAGTAATAATATCTAAGCCTACATATATCTAAATAATATCTAATATTTACCAGTTAGCTCATTCTGGCTGTTAGCTGTGCCTGATCTAGCTAATGGCCATAAATCTCATCCTAGCTCTGTCTTCTTGGCAGTATGGTCCAAAGGCTGGCAAGTTTGCTGGGAACCTCCTTTATTTGTCTCTGGAGCACTATGAGGAATTTCTACTCAGCAGCCCAAACTTTGCAGTATCGCTCACATGAGAGCCAGTAACTGATAGCATTGCGTTAATTCTTTTTTTGTCTCACTTCTCCAAGCATCCCCCCAGAAGTAGCTCTGGGTGACAGGACTTCTTTCATAAGTCCCTTAGTTCCTTCAGTGAACAAAAATTGAATGAAATGCAGCCATGGTTGTTCTGACCCAAAAGAGTATTCTGAATCTAAAAACTGCAAGTACAGATGAGCTACTGCTTTGCCAGTGTAAGCGATGTGAGGTTTTTAGAGAGAAATAATGTCACCTATTTAGCCAACTGGTACAGTTGGAAGAAGTAGAGGGTTTTGATTTTTGTGCCTGAAAGTTTCTCAGTTTTTCCACCTGTATAAGCTAGCCTAATCAAAGTTACTACCTCTCTTTGCAGTAGCCTCCCTTATATTCTTAAACTCTTATAGCTACAACAATAACACATTGCCAACATAGACTGGAATGTCCTGCGTATTAGTTACTAGTGAGTTAAAAACTAGTTTGGAAAGACATTATTGAGCAAATTTGGAAATAATTTCTGTTACCTCCCCCGTCCCTGGAGGTTTTTAAAAGACATGTAGCCATGGCATTTAGGGACATGGTTTAGTGGTGAACTCAATAGTGTTAGATAAACGGTTGGACTTGATGATCTTAAGGGTCTTTTCCAACCTAAATGATTCTATGATTCAATGAAATATGCATAGGTAACGTTTAGTAGTTCTATTGCACAAAAACATCTTTGTTCTTTATGTTCCAAGAAAATAATAGTCTGGGAAAAAAAGGAACCTATCTAATTGAGTGAGGTTATTTAACTGGTAGGTTTAAAAAGAGCTAGCAATTACTGCAGTGTAGACTGGGAAAAAGAAGAGGTTCTCCTCGATCATATGATGTGGAGCACATATTTTACCACATGAGTGGAGTCCAAAAAGGAGACTAGGACATTGGAGTTCACTGTTGGTAAATCCACCTCTGGGGTCTAAAGATGTTTTTAAGAAAAGTGCATGTATTGTTGATTTTCTCATTGTGCATCAAAGCACGTAATGAAAGCCACCTTCTCGTATTCTGATCCTCTTAAGATATTGGGGCCTGGTCTGTAGATTGCTTGTGACTGGTGTCATCATGGGGTCCTGTGGGTGATACAAGCAGACAAGTACTGCCTACTACTAACAGAAATTAATATGCTAGAAGAATGGGCTTCAGTTTTCCCTGGGCAGCCAGAGCACTGACTAATGCTGGTTTTGTAGAATGCCCTAAATATGTGTCTATCTAAAGATGAATCATTCCCACCTTCCATCAAAGCTGACTTTTTAAGTCTAAAATGCAATTTGGTATATTTACAAAAACTCATTAAGACATGTGTTGAAAATCTCACAATCGAAATGATATTGTTAAAACATTGGCTTTATCTTAATATTCAGTAGTATATGATTCACTACCTGGACGAGTTTTTCTTTTGCCAAATAAATCCATGTTTTTGCTCCTTTGCCAGAATAAATCCTTTGAGCCTTTATCAAAGTGAAAGAGTAATAACCTGCTAAACTGTATGAAAAAAATTAGGTGATAAAGTATTACAGTAAAGAATGAATTTAATAAGTACACAGTTCTCAAATTATACCTTGATTTTGAAGTGAATGCAGAGAGACCTTACCCAACAGTGATTTGATAATTGTTGTAAAGTATTAACACATTTCCTTTATTTCAAAATCTCTACATGAACTATGTTTTTAAATTATACATTTTAAAACTCAGCAAAAGATCAAACATCAAAATTAACTTTGCTGACTAAAAACATATATTCTGTAATGTGAAGCAGACTGTGAGTAATAAGAACTAGGTGGAGTAGGAACAGGACCTCTACCCACCAAAGTACAGATAACTTATTTACCTTGTAAGCTCTCAACAGCTGGAAGAAATAAAGTTATCTAAATACTACAATCCAAAGTAGCTGGAAACTATAAGCACCGCTACAGATAGATATATATATATGGTTGAGTAGTGGAGAGTTTTAAATTATCATATAACATTTGCAGAAAATATGCAGGTCTCCAATATTTTTATTTTAACAGTCTACAGGAATTTTGATATAGTTGCGTAAGTCATATCTTCCACACAGAGTTTTATTATGCAGTCTGTTTACAGTTTTTATACTTAATGGAAAGCAATTATAATGATACTGTGGGGCATGGGGAAGACAATGGAAAACAATGAAAAAGCATGTTAAGAATAAAAAGGTAGTATATGAAATTTAGTCTAAAACATAGCTTGAATGAGCTCTGACAGAGCTGATATGGCTGGTTGTTTCCTGTGCCAGGAACTACTGTGGAACCCCACCAGGAAGTGTGCTACAGAGCAGGATCACATTACACCCTTGTTTTATGGTTCATTTCACTTATTTAATGCAATTTGAGAACCTGCAAAAAAAAAAGCACTCTAAAAAGGGGATGTTTATTATTTGAAAATATGTCATTTCTTTGACTCAAGTAAGTCGGGTTTTGGGGACACCTAATGTGCCTAATATAAGGCAAGCAAATCACTACAGCCAAGCAGCAGGTTGTACAGCAGAAGCAAAGTGTTTCCATATTCATGAAGTGTAAAGAATGATGCAGATATTTTATACCTGTACACTGTTGCCTGTCTACTTCAGCAAACCAACAGTGCGCTACAGTGCTACAACAGCAGCGAAGATTGTAGTAGTTTTTCTTTACTACTCCAAGTAAATTTTAATATAGTACAGCGATTTAGTAAAATTATGTAGACTAAAAAGGTTGTTTAGTGTTCCAGCTGATTTATAGGGCGTGATAAAACATTCCAAAATCTTTGGAAACAAGGAACATGATACAGCCTGTATTTGGTTTGACGAAGCTGTGTTCATACGAAAGAAAATGTTTAACGTGCTAACTAGATAATGATTCATCAATTCTGGCAGAGGAACTAATTTTTGTTAATGTAGTACTTAAAAATGTGTGGAATGAACAGCTGGATACCACAGTTGTGGCATGCCATATTAAGTCTCTGTCTGTTTTCCCCTACAGTGATCTCAGTATGAACAACATTACTAAGCTGCCCTCAAACCCCGTGCACAATCTCCGCTTCCTGGAAGAGCTGTAAGTATCATTGTATCCTTGATGGGCATAGTCAGCACTAGACACATTCCTGTGTTTGTCTCTCATACTTACTGTGGGAACCAGATAAAACGGTGCAGGAAAGCTGTCAGCCTGACACTTTTGGCACATGCGGAAACACTTAGTTGAAAAAAACCCAATTGCTTGTGATTCTGGAAATGAACTTATAAAAGAGTTACCGTGAGGCTACAACTTCTCTAAGCAGAGACAGAGCCAAACAAATTAAAATTTTTAAACAAGGGCTGTTTAAAAGAGCTGGATTGCTTTTTGGAAATAGTTAAGCAGCAGGATATTAAAAGTTTGAATACTGGCTCATGTTTATTAAAATCGCAAGTAAAGCTATAATCAAAACCAAAACCTGCTGCCTCGTTCTGCCTGTGTCAAGGACAATTGAGTCCACATTTCATACTATCAAGGCTTCTTGTCCTAATCACTTTTAATTACTGTTTCCTTACTCTTAAATTTAGCATCCCTGAAGGCTGACTGTAAAATGCAGAATCCTGCAAAAAGCTTAGTTACGCTATCTAGTACGTTCACTGAAGGGAAAAAGTACACTGAGAAAACTAGCTAATCGAGCACAACATCAAAAGAGGAATGCTGGTTTGAAGTGATGGTGACTAACCAAAAGTGAAAAGTACTGTGCATTCATGAGACCTGGATTTGGCAGTGACCCTAGTTATAATGGCCCAGGCTTAAAAGAAAATTTGGGTTCCTGAGGAGTGATGGAGACTCTGTAACTGATGCACTGTAGATCTTGTGGGAAAAAGCTGGCACCTGCATTTGCATGAGTACCTCTAAAAGTTGATTAAAAGAATTGTCTAGGCATCCAGCCTCTTATGAAACATGGTTTATAAGCTTTTAAAAGTGAAAGCCTCCTTTTTTATAGCAAGTTTAGCTGCTAACACACCATAAAACCCACGTAAGATATGCGAAGTCATGGTGCTGCCCTTCTTGCAAAGGCATGATCTATTTTAAGCTATGAAATGTGTACAGTTCTCTGCAGTTGAGGTGGGTATTTTGGTAACTTTGAACAATACCCGATTTGCAAGCAGATTTTCCTTTCCTGTCTTATTTTTATTACTGACAGCATTTCTATTTAGAAAGCATTATTTCTTTTAATTCTCTTTCTTCCTTTACTTGCTCCTTTTCTTTGGTTATCATTACCTGTATTGCTGTTGGTGCAACTTTAGAATAACATACAGATATGGACATAACGAGGAGAGATGTCACACACCAAATATTAACGGTATCAAGCACATATGAAGTGAATCATGCCACAAAGATCATGCCTGTGGATTTTTGCATCACGTTCAGTCTCCTGTCAACTGTAATAACCCTACTAAAAGCTTCCAACCCAATGGTTTCTCTCCAGCCATTAAACAAAAGAAGAAAAAGAAAAGTTTGGGGTTTTCATGGAAGGAAATTCTAATGCATTAAGCTAAGTTACCTTCATTCTTATCATTTTACAGTCCAAAGTCAGATGACCCTTAGTGAGACTTATGTCGCTGCTTGAGAAACTCTTCAGCAGTCTACTTCATCTTCCTGATCAACACCTTTGAAAGTGTTTTTACCTTATTCTTGTGTTGGGCCTACTTTTTCCACTGGAAATGTTAAACCATTATCCTTATAACCCTCTGTGCCAAATTAAGTAATTCCAGTCCTTCATTGCTGGTAGTACCAGAAAGAAGTTTATTTCTTTTATTATGTTTTGCTTTACATATATGCAGTCAGCTCATGCATTTGTTTCACACGAGCCAATCATTTCCATTCCTCATTAATTCTGATGCTGTTTTGTGAAACCCTTCCAGTTTGTATTCACTTTTCAAATAAACATAGAAAAACGAAGTCTTTGAAGAGGTGAGGCAACTGATTACCTCTTCTTAATGCAGATTCAAACCCATTGTGCTGAGAGATTCTGCGGTGTTCAGCGGCATGTAATACAGTTCAGTCTAGTATTATGTAAAAAAAGGTATAGACAATGGAAAGGGAACTGGCTATTCAGTTTTGAAGTAGGGGATAACAGCCGTTGTAGTTCCCGTGCTCCTCTTATGTGCATTTCTAAGCAGTGATTGTACATTTGAAAATTATTCTTCCCATCCAGGCGTTGCCACGTGATTTTTTTTCCCAGCTTACCTGGGAATTCTGTGTTTTGTTTATGATGTGACTCAGTTAGAGGGGACTACTGCAAAATATAACTTAGCCCATAATGCGGACATTGTAAAAATAAGGGTTTACAAGATCTTTAGACCAAAACAATGTTTCCATGAAATTAAAATGTATCTTGGAAATGTCTGTTCGCTCTGTGAAATGCAACAACAGCAGAAGCTTAAAATGCATTTCTTAGGGGTTTTTAGTGTTGAAAAAAACGTTACCAATCAATCCCTTTATTAGAGGGCTGGTTCAAAAATCTGATAAAAGCTAACAATTGATCCACTGAATTTTAGCTTAGATTTTATGTTCTAGATGTGTGGTTTGGCAATACTGCTAAGTCATTACCCCAAAAGAACTGAGAATTTATTAAGACAGCTGAACCAATTGTTTTGACTCCAAAGCAGGGGTGTATAAGCCAGGTCTGTTCAGCCAGTTCTGACCTTCTAGGCTGAATCTGGTCCACTCTTCCAGCCAAGGCTAGACACCTCTGCAAGCAGCATTCTTGCAGTCTTGATGATTGTGACTGGTATTTATGCTTAAACAAAGACTTTGATCACTGAAGTACAACATATTGAAACTATGCTGTATTTTTGAGGTGCATGTTCCTCTAAAAATTTTGGAAAACATTGTGGTACTTTTAAAATTTAACTGTTCTAGTTCCTAAAAAAATTAGTTTTGAGCAAGGTCTTTTATTTGTGAAAATGATGAGCCTTTCAGCCCTAATGTTCTCTTAAAGTGCATGTGATGGAACTCCCACCAAGAAATAAATATGCTTCGGCTGCTTGGTTATCAGCAAGTTGCTCTGCATGAACTTGTACAACACCATTAAGTCAAATTCTTCATTATAAATTCAAAATAACTGCAGATATTTATCAGTATGACTGCGTCCAAGACTCGATCTCATATGGGGTATATCTAGATGTATGTCATTCTACAATATGTGTAGAATGCCCATATTAATGGAGCAGTTAGAGTAGTGCACTAAAAAAGTTTTTTTAAAAAGTATAAAGAATTGCCTAGAGTGAGACTCTTAAGAGTTTAAGAAGCAACTACATCTGAGTGTAGACATACCATTTTGTGATTACTAACACTTCAAAGCAGTGACTGAAACTGTTTCATTTTATAAATTACTTTCTCTATGAAGAGTGAGGAAGAAAGCCAATAATAATTTAAAACTATTTGAATCAAACCTAACTACAAATATCTCCAACTAGATATATCTCCACACATACATACATATGCATATGCATAAATATATGCACGCACACCCACACATGCACATATATAAAGCTTTTATTTTAATTTTAAACACGGGAACATTCCACAGATAAGCAAAATTCCAAGTGATTTTTAGTACATTGCTATTTTCCAGCAACTTAACATAGGTGTTTTAGTAAAACAGCAACAAAGGACTGTTTTATTACAATTATTTTACCTACAGAGTAAGACAGTTCCAAATAACTTTCATTTCACAAAATCAAGCAAGAAAGTCACCTTAAATTAGTTGCAGCCTACATACAGGTGCAAGAAAGCTTACTGACACCAGTATTATTTCTTAAAATGGCCTTAAAGGGAATTAAATGTGTGTACAAAGTTTTTCAGATTGATCACAGTATTGTTACAGCAGTTACTCAGGCAGAAGTGCCTTTAAAAGTGCATTTTACTTCAATACTAAAGTGCAGAATTACTGATACAATACAAAAAAGAGGTATTATGTGAATCTCACCATGATTTGTGTGGAAATCCCTTTACACTGCAGAAGTGGTCAAGAGGCCACTGTATGTGTGAAAATGAAGTCCTAAATTGCCAGGCACAATCTATTGCCATCTGTTCTTATTTATTGTTTTCCCTTTGCTTCTCTCTCTGTTTGCTCTTTCTTTCTACAGAGAGGTTTTCAAAGCTGTTAATGGGAATTAGATGTTCTTTTCCCCACTGACTTTGAGCGGTGGGACTGAGCTCCCTGGTCATTTATGTCTTTGAAAGCTGAGAGCATTAGCCCCTGGGGTCTTGTACAGTCTTTATGTTTGTGCTGGTGCAGGCACATTGTGGATAGCACTGAAAACTGGTTCTGTACTTTTTACTATTATGTAAGCTAGGAGAAAACTTGAAAGTGCTGCAGCCATAGTCCAAAACTTTTGGGAGAAAGTGGGAGAATCTTGTAATTTACTTCAACAATCTTTGAACAGGATGCTTAAATACTAAAATCTTTCCCAAAGATTAATCTGCATAGATTTAAAAACCTCCAAGGCAAAAAAGTAAAAATACCTGCAACTGAATTTTGAATTTGGTTTCTTCAGTGCATACATGCATACATGTAGAGGTGAGCTGTTTAGACTACACCACTGTGTTTGATACGTGGTGTTCGTCAGTGAGAGGTACCTGTCACCAGCCAGGCAAGTGGCCCGTGGCACATGGTAAATTCATAGAATCATAGAATGGTTTGGGTTGGAAGGGACCGCAAAGATCATCTAGTTCCAACCCCCCTGCCATGGGCAGGGACACCCTCCACTAGACCAGGTTGCCCAAAGCCCCATCCAACCTGGCTTTGAACACTTCCAGGGAGGGGGCATCCACAGCTTCTCTGGGCAACCTGTTCCAGTGCCTCACCACCTTCACAGTGAAGAATTTCTTCCTAATATCTAAATCTAATCTAAATCTAATGTAAATCTACCCTCTTTCAGTTTAAAGCCATTACCCCTTGTCCTATCACTACATGCCCTTGTAAACAGTCCCTCTCCAGCTTTCAAATTCTGTTGCTGTAAGACAGAGTTTGTTGATAACTCAGGGCGCTGGGTCCCCAACTTCGCTTTAGTACAGCCAGGGAGGCACTC